GTATTTGTGGATGTGAATGTAGCTGTGCCTTATTCGACTTCATAGCCGCAGCATTGTTTATGCTTGTCACTCAGACAGTTCACATTCTCTCTCATTTTTGTACATTTTGCTGTTACGAAGGATGGCTCACATAAACACAACTCTTTCTTAATAATCACAACTGAGAAGACCAATATTTTGTGGCTTTTGTTTTGGCCGCAGTTCGCGTTTGCTGTAGAGGAATTGCTTCGTTTTCACAACTTTGTCCTGTTGCCAGACCCAAGCAGGACGAACGTGGCTTCTGTAAAACCCTCTGCCATAATAGTTATGATAATTTGCAGCCTCTCACCGTCGGCTCGGTACATTCACAGACATTTCGTCGGCAGCGTCGGTGCGTTGGTGCCAGTCTTGTATTTCACAGTTACAACTCGTCAAACGATCACAAAGTTGGTCCCGTTGACCGACTGGCGATGCCGGCGACGCTGCCAACGCTGCCAACTACCAGAACTATTCGAGCAGAGGACTTTGGGCAAGATGCGTTCAACAATATGTCGCCCTGGCAACCGGGCCAAAACCGGAGCGAAAGCGAGGTCACACCACGTCTTTACGTATGCTTTCTTGCCGATGTTGCTGTACCTCTTTTCCTGCGCCCTAATCCAAACGGCATACATTTCGTCTTATCGAAGATATGAAGACCAAGATGTTGTGGCCTCTGTTTTTGGTCGCAGTCTCCTTTAGATTTATAGAAATGGGTCGGCCTCGTTGTCGCAACTTGGTCTTGTTATCTGGGCGACTATGTAGTCGTCTGCCATAGTAGTTGTCATGGCAACCAGCATCAGACTGTGGACTTGGAACATTCTCAAACATTTCGCCGACATCAACAGTGAGTTTTGCCATTCTCGTCCCCAACCTACGAACTCGTCAAATAGACAAGTGACGTCAATACCTCGACAACCGTTCTACCGGAAACGGTTACAACATCACTCCTCTTTCCCTTATTGTCTATCTATCTACTCTTTACCCTCTTATCCAACTGCCGCCCTATCACAACTACTCACTTGTTTACGAGACAATGAGGAGATCTGGATTGTAGGCTTGAGTCGGATCAGCCGATCGAAAGAGAGGGGTCGGGGTAAATGGCCACACTCGGTTTGCCACAAAAGGGAACACATTTTAACGAGCGGACTGTAAACAATTGAGAAGTTGTGATAGGGATAAGAGGGTAAAGAGTAGATAGATAGACAATGAGAGAAAGAGGAGTGATGTTGTAACCGTGTCCGGCAGAACGGTTGTCGAGGTATTGACGTCACTTGTCTATTTGACGAGTTCGTAGGTTGGTGAGGAGAATGGCAAAATTCACTGTTGATGTCGGCGAAATGTTTGAGAATGTTCCAAGTCCACAGTCTGATGCTGGTTGCCATGACAACTACTATGGCAGACGACTTCGGACTGGGTGCGTTCTACATAGTCGCCAAGACAACAAGACCAAGTTGCGACAACGAGGCCAACCCATTTCTATTTCGTCTTATCGTTCACAGCATTCCACACTTGGTACAGTTTAGCTCCGATGGGGAGTCTGTGCGACGAGACGGCTCGTCTGGCGTTGAGTCGGCGCGTCGGAGAAAGCCGAGACAAATCACAAGTGCACAGTGTACATGTGTCGTGCTTTCTGTGTGTTCTGCACAAGCCAGCTTCCATCAACTCGTCAGTCTTGTAAGCAAATCTGGCCTGTTGTGCTACACTTTCTCTCATCAGCTGACGTGCGCAACTCCTTTTGTGCCAAAGTTTGTGCATATTATCGTATTCATTTTCCATTTTGCCTCGGTCCGTTCTATTCGGCAAATGTTCATTATTTTTCGTTTGTAATTGGACTTTCGAAATATGCCCACTCTATTTCGTGTATGTTGATGAGGGAACTGACTGGCGGTTGCATTTTGCCGAGATCACTTTGCGTTAAATTTCCCAAAGGCACTCGTTGCGATGTGGCGTAATAGCTGACTCGTCTAGATTATATGAGATGTATTCACCCTATTTCGGCTAAGGTGATGAAGGACTGGTAGTAGAATTTTCCCACAATGATGTGAGTTGAGCTGACGTTTCCATTGGATTTCACATAGCCTTGCTTTGCCAAAAGTAGGGTGAATACATCTCATATTAGTGATTTACTGGTGGTCTCGAAAATAGATTATATGTTGCATTGTCATGGTTCGAATCCCTTCGAGGGTGCTGACAAGGCCCAGGACAGGTCGAAACTGCAGTCCACCTTGGCAAAATGTTAACAGAATACATGCTCATTTTGTAACGATTAATGAATTATGTCATAGCTCTGTCTACAGAGAAATAAACGTTTCCACTGAGTTCCTATATTCGTGGCTCGGTTGATTCACTATTTTCCTTCACCCTCACTCTTGCCATTGCTGTCATAATTTTGCCCAAAAGTACGTCTATTTGGGCAGAGCTATGACATGAGTCTTTAGTCGCTACAAAATAAGCGTGTATTCTGTTCTTACCTTCCCCATCCGACATTAATAAGTCCGTTTTGTACACATACACATACAAACATACACACACATATATATCACTTAATATTGACGTCAGCTCTATTCACATGATTGTGAGAAAATTCTACTACCAGTCCCTCATCAGCTTAAACGAAATAGGTAAAATACATCTCATACTACTGATATACTGATAGCCTCGAAACTCTGCTTATATATTTTTATTTTTATTTATAAGCGTTTACTTCTAGGTTAAAGTGTCTTGCTAAATTGATTGGCATATGTGCATAGTTGGTAGCAAAATATGCTGTTTCTGCCTTATTTGCCACATACAAGCTTTTCTATGCTTGATTTCACAATTCGTTCTGTCACCACTCAACCAATCTAGGAGGGCTTCCGGTCAAGGTAATCGTAGCATAGAATCCGTCTTGTGTGCGCCGACAGCTTTTGCCTGAAGCTGAGGGCTTTGTGGAAATAATCTCCCATGCGATTTCCTTTTGCTATGATTAAAAGTCGTTCACACTACTAATATATATATATATATATCAATTATTACATATATATATATAATTCACATTTCCGAACAGTATGAATTGCAAATTAATAGAAAGTATTATCTGTTAGCGCAAATCTGAAAGCAACCGCCTAGTGACCAGTCTTGAAATCCAAGAATAAGTAGTAAAAAGTTTGGATGTATTTTAACAAATAGCATAATTGAAGTGAGGTCTCCACGATTATTGGGCTTTTAAAATAGCAGTAAATTAATTTTGATAGTTCGTTTCTTCACTCTTGCCAAAAGAATACAATTGAATTTGAACGAGCTTTTGTATTTCACCAATTTTCGCATTTGCGATGTGTGTGAGTGATCTGAATAAAAAATAATCGTCATTCCGTACCCTCTGGATATTTTATTCATCCAACATATGCTTGGCGGTTTTTTTAATACTTTTACTTTATTCAAAGTCTTCTTCGACGCACAATGATGACATGTTATTATTAATCCTCTATTCGACTGCAGCCCTCTTTTTCAACATCCCGAGTCTATCTTCACTTTTTCATCCATCGTCAACATTTGCTACAGACCTCCCTCTGATCCAATGATTTCGATGCCATCGCTGTCAAGTTTGTCAGGCTTTTTCTTTCACTATTCGAACGGATACATCATCTCATTCGAATATCATGACGCATAATCGTCCTACCAGTCAAACGCTCCGTCCTTGAATGTAACTACGGTTCGATTGGAATAAATGATTTCCCAAATGCACAGTGCGCATTAAACGTATCCAGCCCCAGCTTCACTTGCTAAATTCACGTGCCTTGATCTCGTTTCTTAATGTCCTGATCCAAAATATGGCTGTAGGTCTTCATGTTATGGCCATAGGCCAAAATCGGAAGTGTAGAGAAACTATCAGACTCTAAGATGAGTGATTTTTTTCCGATGCATTAATAAAACTGCCTAAACTGTTTTATGCACACTCCTTCCACCGAGAACCGTTAACATGCGGAGTGAATTTAGCGTTAGTGCCCATTCACACAATAATAACTAGCCTTAAGTTGCATTCCGACTGTATATGCTTGCAATTATTTAGACTATTCTGTTCGTACTTACATCTCGACATCTCACCTCAGTCCGTTTGACGTTTATGATCGTCGGATGCTTTTCGCCTGGCAGCCTCCTTAAATATGCTTGCATTCTGGCCAGACATCAGCTTTTCGCTACTGTTTTTTAATGTTTTATCCCTGGACACGCGCAAACACACATACTTGCGTACATATAACCATCTATCTGTACATACTAAAACCTAATTGATTTAAATCGTTGTTTGATCTCTGAAGATTTTGATACGTACCTTTAATGCATCTCTCATTTCGTACTATTGGTACAATTGTTCGGGACCGGAAACTAAGGTCAACTTAGGCACTTTTTGCTATTCCTCGGCATGTGGACTATCCAAAATGCGCCTTGGCCATGCCATGCTCTATTTTGTGTTGGAGCACATTTCATTTCGTCCAAAGAGGCGAATGGAAGGGATTAGTAAGTTAGCCTCACCGGAAGCTGTAGGAGGATTGCCTTGGAGCTATGATTGCAGATACGTGCACGGCCTAGCAACCTGCGACCCCAATCAATCCTTGCTGAGCTTTGGGTGAATTATTGTTAAGCATGGTGATGAGGTCAACTTACAAATCACTTCAATTTGCCTCTTCAGACGAAATGAAAGCTAACACAACACGATTCTTCATTGGCTGGCCAACCATGTCTCCCTTCTGAATCCAATCAGTCTCCTTAGGGTCATCTTGAAGGCATCAAATTCGACCGTTTGATTTAGTTGCACCTCCGATAGTCGTCACAGGATCTGATTTCTACACTGCCCTCACCTTCCCTCTAATGGCATAGTTCTTGACTAAATTTAATGTCTCTCTTGAGGTCAGACCTAGACGTAAACGAAACGGTCGCCGGAAGACTGTCCGGAACGTAAATAGACGCTGGCCGACCAAACTGTACCATCGTAGACGCGGAATATAGATGGAGTGGATAACCAGATCGTTGGACAAATTAGAAGAGACACCCGAAGATGTGCGTTGCTCGGTTGACGATGGGACGCTGTCAGAGCAAGAGGCTCCAGGCCGTAAGCGAGACGAGCGTCAGGACTTTCCGCTCGCGGATCCTGAAGTAGATGGCTGATGCAATAAAGAGGAATAGAAAATGGAGGAAAGAGATTAGAAAAAGGGACGAGTTGTTGTGTGGTGCTAAGAATGGCGAGACTCACTGACGATGCCGGTGAAACGTTTGGAAATGTACCACGTCCACGGTTCAACTTTGTAAATGATCATGCAGACAATGGACCCCGGA